AAGATCATACTTGAACCAAATAATACTCTTTTGAAAATAGCCAGTTGGGGGGGGGAGGAAAGCAGGTTAGCTAAATTGAAGGTGTGATATCTATAAATATGATTATGCTCCAGATGGGCTATTCATGTGCTCCTCTAAAGGATTAGTACTTTATGCCAGTGTATTCTTCACTTATTTGCAGTTAATAAACATATATGCATATATGATTTAATCAGTACTTCAAATGATAATGTATGAATCAATATATTAACTGCAAACTTATTTAAGTGAAGCAAAAGTAGAGGTAGTTCATTGGAAATGATTAGATTTTACGCAAAGGAAGAAGAAAAATTGTTAAACTGTGTTCTATCTATGTATCCAGAAAGCCAATACTTGGCTTCACTTACTCAACAAGCACAGCTAAAATAATTATATTGTAGTCACAATATTGAGTCATCGATTAGAGCATCAGTAGTTAAAACTCTCAATTTTCTCCCAAGAAAGGAGAGAGCTGGCTGATGTGTAATGGTTGTTTGTTTTATGACACTGTATTTTTAGCTTTCATTTAGTTTCGCCTCCATGTTTTTAATAAAAAACAAATGAATTTAGGCTGTGATTGAATTTTGTCTTAACAAAGAATTCCGTTGATACAGAGTTCAAGACCTATTGTCACAGAGTTTGGTAGAAAAGACGAGCTCCCAAAAATGCCCAGTGAGACACATACTTGCAAATGTCTGTACGTATGTATGAGCATACATTCAAAGATAGGAAAATACATCAAAATTCTATATATAAATACAATGTAAGAATAAAGCCCTGGGTTTGGGATTATTCTGAACCATTGTAGCTGAAAGTTTGTGCTTTGTGTGTAAGTCTCGTTGGTTCATAGAGCCCAGGTGCAAATAAAATCTTCTCCATCAGGAGCTGTAATTTTCTGTTATTGTATGCTACAGCAGAGAAGGTTCCATAGGCAGCTGGTTTTTGTCTGTTATGTTTCTCTCTTTTCCCCTTTTTGTTCAATCTCAACTCTTAAGTAAGCATTGGGGAAAAAAGTGGAACTAATGATTATGAAAATAAAAAAAAATAAAAAGAATTTTAAACAGCAAAAGAAAACTTCTGTTTTGTAGCAGTTTCTTTGCACACCTGACCAAACTATATCATAGAAAGCAGATGTTAAATCATAAGCAAAATACAGCTTTTACTCTTCCTTCTTTATATTACAATTACCATTTAAACTGTAGCTCAACAACTTGTAATATCAGACCTCCAATCCTTGATACGGTGATCCGTAATAAACCTTTGTGCCGATCAGTGGAGGAGCTGAGGGTACGTAGTATGCAGTAGGTTAACTCTCTGTTTCTATGAATTTTGTGAATTAATATCCACTACATCTTCCTGCCTGCTTAGTACAACTTTTCATTTAGTGACACTTTCGGTCTGACAGTGAAAACTCTGCTGGTTGATCTCTTTGTCCCTGGGTACCAGATCAGTGCTTCAAAATTTCATCTCTCTCCGTGCTTCTGTCTGGGAGGATTTAAGTTGTGCTTTGGAGTGCTGGGGGAGAATTTGTTGGGGAGAAGTGGTGGGTAGTTCCTGTGGGTAATTGTTTTTCACAATGCATTGAAAATATATTCTGCTTTTACCATTTGAAGTAAGAGTAGAAAAATTTTCTTGTTAGAAATATTATATTTCTAGTTGATTATTTTAACTGTGAAAAGCTGATTAGCTCTGTTGTCACCAAGTTATTTGGTTCACATGTCAAATTTCATTCTTTTTTAAAAAAGAAGGCAATATCTTTGGTGTAGATAGAGTACGTTTAAAATGTGATTTGAAAAATGAACAGATTTATAGGAAATTAAATTTGGCTTGACTTCACTTCTTCTGTCCAAAACTGATGCAGTAATAACGAATAACAATTTCAAAATATATTTGTGCCACCCTAAAACAAGTGTAGTTGTTATATTTACAAAATATATTACTGATAATATGCAGATTTTAGTATGGTTGTATGTGTAAGTAGCTGCAGATATTGTTGTTGGTGCCAGAATATGTAACAGCTGCACCTTTTTTTTTTTTTTTTTTTTTTCATTGAAAGCTTGTACCTGCATGTTCTAGGGTTTGGATGATGGTCAGGGTAAGCAGCGGCTGGGGGGCTGGGGGGTCCCTTACCTCGCGTTGGGTGCCCCGCTGGGCACACCTGAGCTGGTCCCGCTGGGCACACCTGAGCTGGTCCCTGGGGTGCGGGAGGCCGAGGGCTCCCGAACTGCCCCTTTCCCTGTGAGTGGCCGGCCGAGGCTGCTGCGGATCCTGCTTGGAATCCGAAGCGGAATCCTGCACTTGGCACCAAATTGCACAGTTCAGGTTATATTCCTGAGGAATGGAGTTGAAGCAGAGGGTAACCCTGGCTTCTTGTATATGTTTATTTCATATTTATTTCATTATGCAAAAATGCATACTGTATGCCAGTGTAATTGTGGGGAACAAAATGCATTGGTTCAGCAACCGTGTTTCTGTAACTTTGTGTGAAGGAGGTTCTTAGAGTTAAAATTAGTTTTTCTAGCATGTTCTTGGACAGCACTTGAAAATTTGCCTCATTAAAAATGCAAACCCGTATTTTTTAGGAATTTTTAAAAATCAAATGCTGTTCTCACTTATGTATTACTCGTTTATATTTTTGATCAGCTCAGTAAGAATGTGTACATTATGGGGAAAATTAGCTTCACAATTAGACACATGTAACAATTTTTAAATGGTTCGATATGCATTAGAAACAAGAAAATTTCATCAAGAAGTAAACCTAAAAACTACTGGGGGGAAAGTCACCTGGAAGAATATACTCAAGAGGATAAACAGTAGAAATTGTGTTGCATATTTGTAAAAATATAGTATCACACATAATTAAATGCTATTTCCATCTTTTCAGAAAGTATGCTATGGCAAAAATACACCAGACGTTCTGACACATAGTATCAAGCGCTTTCACTGTTTGTTTAGAATGTAATACTATTTTAAGCACCGTTATTTTTTAACTTAATGTCTGTTTCTGTGAGTCTCTAAACTTGTCTTTATGTGAGTTAAAATTATGTTTTTGTGTCTAGGACTTACACGTTCAATTATGCTAAGTGAATTTCTGTGTTTGGAAAGCAATAGGAAAATGCGCTTTCTGATTAAACACAGTTTCCATATACTCCCTCACGAGAATGAAAGCTATAATTTTTCTAAATATCAGTTACAACTAAGAAGTTACTCTGTGTGTGCAAAACAAGTAGGATAGTGTGTAAAGAATTCAGCAGCAGTCTTTCAAAGCTATGATATTACACTAAGTGAAGATACAAGTGCTTCATGCAGATAAAGTCAAAGAAATGCTCATAAAACCTTTAATGCCACATCATCACTTATGATACATATGCAAAAAAAAAAGGGAAGAAAATATTTAAAACATATTTTATCCAAGAAGTTAGATGGAAAGAGTTTAAATGGAGCTTTAGAGAACCAAGAAATGAGAATTAATTTCTCTGTAACTAAAATTTAGCTACTGAGTCACTCTGAGATCATCCTGGGGCTTGGCTTGGAAACTAGTGCATGATTGCATTTGGAAAGAGACTATTCCTTTCTTCGTGTTGCGCTGTGCTACCCGTACTACAGGGCTGCAAACCAGTGAGTCTGCTGACATTCAGCGTACAAAGAACGTCACACAAGAAGCAGTGTCCATGTGAAACTTGAGAATGTGTAGTTTCTGAGGATGGAAAATCTATAGAAAGGTGTTAGGAACAGGACCACTTTTCTCATTCCTTCTTAAGATATAACAATGGGATTTGGAAAATTGGAATAATTCCTTGGATAGATAACTATAGGAGGTTTGCTTTTAATTGCAGTGTGTGGGTTTTAAAGAGTTGGGCTGGAGCTCAGGGACAACTTGTTCAAAGGCGGGAGAACTTAGTCCCGTCTTCAGGACTCACATAGGAAACGCTCATATTCTGGTTCCCAGATACAGCAGTAATGGGAAGGAGGGGCACAAGTTTGGTTACAAGTTTTTTGTTTTAAAGTCAGATGTCTTCCTCTTAGAAATGTCAGGACAAGAATCGCTAGTACATTATTTTCAGTAGAATAGAATACACAATTTTTATGGTTTCATGTATCATATAAAAGACCACTTTGTCTGTAGAAGAAGAGCTCTTTGAAATCTAAGCTACGTACTTAGCAAAAAGAAGTCCCAGCATCTGTGTTCATGGGCTGTTAACTTACTGTTTCTAAAGACATGGCAAACGTTTCATATCAAATCTCTCAAAGTAGAATTAGATATCTCTAGCAAGAGTTCTTTGAATGTGTAACAGTTGTTTCAGGGTGTCACCATACAGGTAATAATCCCAGTAGTTCATCTCTTCATTTCAAGTTTAAAAAAAGTATTTCTGAACAACCTAAAATAAAGGAGAGAGAAATCAAAGTTTTGGTGTGTAGATATATAAAATTATGTGTGTATGCACGTGTATATTTCAAATTTAAAATCTTTTGCACAGAACTATGTGCTAGCTGTGCCATTGGCTGGAACAAGGACAACAGAGCATTTCATATGACGGCAATAGAATTTTCTTAGTTGTGTGCATTCTTGAGTTACATGCTTCTCTTAGCTAGTTAATTAACAGCCACTTTTGTTTATATTTAAGGCAATGGTAGAAAAACTTCCGTTAGCTGAAGGTATGAGCCCTTGTAGCAGGTACTCCACTGTGAAATCAGTAAATGTTTTTCCTAGCTGCTGCTTTATCCTTCAAATCGAATCTTAGCGATGGACTAAAGGGCTTCTAGCAAAGAAACTTAGCATGTTGAAAAACCTGCATAACGTAGATGGATGTGTGCTTCAGTATCTAGGAGAATCACTACAAACCCTGTTATAGGGAAAGATGAAGCCTGATTAATCTGAAAAGATGATTGCTTGAATAAAAACGTTCTCAGATGAATTTTTGTATGTCTTCACATGTGGTGGTCTGTATTTCTATGTCTTTTTTTATTTCCCTTGCCTGCAGGAAATCCATCTTGCTTTTCTGAAATGGCTTGAGGGAAGTGTAGATGCTGAAGGATTAAGAGCATCCAGCAAGGTGTCTCTTAAATTCGTTTCATCCTGTGAATCAAAAATGGAGGTAACTCCATCTCTCATGCCAGTCATCACTGAGATGGGAAGCTTCTCATCAGAACATTTTAGCCTGAAGACATATCAACAGAATCTCCAAACAAAGAAGCTTGGAAAGATTCTTCTTTTTACTGAAGTTACCCCAACAACAATGAATCTTCTGGATGGGTAAGATGATGATCTAGACCATACCAAATAAGCTTTTTGATCTGGATTTCACAGTTGTAGTAACACACAGTGTTCAGAAAGAAACTTTTTTCTCTTTGGTTTATTTGTTGCCTACAAGCTAGCCAAGGTAAAAAAAAAAAAAAAAAAAAAAAAAAAAACCAAAACAAACAATGAACTGATAATCTTCAAGATGGGACACAAAATAGAGATCTCTGTGTTCACAGAAGATTAATTGATAATGTATAAAATACTAAGCCATAAAGGGTGGGAAAATCTGAGTGTGACAACTTTTTACTTGGCAATGGAGTTTAATCATTATTCCTCTGGTAAAGCATGAACATCACTGTAGGAAAGTTTAAGGTATTAAATATGCATATTTAGGACATTATATGCATTTTCTAGTACAAGTTATTTTCTAAGCTAGTTATTGGACAAAACTGATACCGAATAGATTGTGACCTTGATTTTAACATTATTGTTTTCTCTCGTAACTTTTGCTGAATATTTCAGTAAAATGCTCTTTAGTGATTTGTTGTTTTGTTGGTTTTGGTTGGTTTTTCGGGTATTTTTTTTTTTAACATTGATTAGGGTTATGCTAGTCATTCGTTCACCATCACATAGATGATCCTTGTGAATGAGTTGTGGGATACCTTTGAGAAGGTAGTTCATTAGAGTTTTGAATGGGATTAAGTGATATGAAAATCACAGTTACTAAATGTTAGGTTGGAGTCTATGTACAAAGGCTATACTGTTATGTTTCATGAAATAGTCTGATGGAAAAAACTGTCTTTAGGAAGTTCTTTCTCTTCAGGACAGATTTTTCTGTGTGTGTTTCTACCTGCAGCTGTAACTCTTCTTGACAGCTACTTTTGAGTATCAGTGTTAATTTGTCTGCAGAAATTGCAGATGAATTTTACTGTTGAAAATAATCTCAGTTGTTTTATTTTGGATTTTTTTTTAATCAACATAATCAGCTAAATCCTTGAATGTTATTGTAGCTGATTAGTTAACCGGCAATAATAGCTTTAGTTCTTAGCTAGAGAGCCTAAATTGTGAGAGCGATAAAAGTTACAGAATATGCCTTCTTGCAAGTAATAAAGGTGATTTGTTTTAGAATATATGTACACATAATCCTGGAATGAGGATACGTTAGAACAGTCTTAAAGTAAATCAGTTTGTAGTCTTGACACTGTGATAGAATTTCCAAATGATAGTTTGTGCTAAAATATTGCACTTCAGAGACAGTTGGAATCAAATACAAATTTCTTTTAATTCCAAATTACTCTCTGTGTGTGCATGTGTACTCATGGGCACACACATTTAAAACGTTGCTATCTAATTTTGCCACTCCCCTTCCCCCAGATCTATATCCTCGTCTTCATCTTATTTTGCAGTGGATTTTGGATGTAGACAGACATGCTGGTTCAATAAGAGGCCACAAAGAAATGAGTTATTTTATTGAAGCATTTGTAGCATTTTCTTTATAATTTTTAGTATTCACACCACGTTCAGCCCATTGGATTGAAAGCAGAAGTACTATGAAGAAACTGACAAAGTGAGAATTTAATAGATCAAGACCTTTCTTCTCTGACTGTTGGTTTTGGTGGTGGTTCTCAGTAACATTATTCACGCATCTCCATAAGATGAAGTATATAGTTCAGAGTTTTGTGAATATGTTTAGATAGATACTACAAGCTAAATAGAATCATGTCTGGCAAATTTATATAGAATTATATTCTCAAGAAAGACAAGGGAGCTAAGAGAAGTGGTCTTGGTTTTTCAATGGCTGTGCAACCTTTATTCTCTTATCTTTAAAGTGCTGTACTGGCAGAGTGGTCAGCACTCAGGCTGCTTTTTTTAAATTAAGTAGTCCAGATGTAATGAAGCGTTTACAGATGTAGGTCTTCAAGATTTTCCCCATCATGATACAGCTCAAGTAGTCGGTTTTCAGGTAAGATGTAAACTAGAAGTCCTGGCTCTAAGTATCTTATACTGGGAAGATGTCAGATTATAGTTTGAACAATTAAAATTATCTTACAGAAAGACCTTTGTTTTAAGAAGTTAATATATTTGTCTTAAGTATCATGATTGGTGTTACTGTAAGTACTTTGTTGTCATGGATAGTTGAATTATGTAGTCCATGTGATTTGCAATTCAGCAAAGTACCTTGAGATTTCACAGATGATAACATTTCACAAATCAGTAGAAATTGATGCAAATACCTATTAGTTAATTTTTATTGAAGAAAAAATTTGTCAGGTACTTCCAAATGGACCAATATAAGTCTGTTAGGTTATGTGGTATGGCACTTTTTTCTAATTGCCAATCCTGAATGAAAGGAAAATACATCTCAGGAAAATAAGAGTGTCTTTGCTTGAGTAAAAATAGGTACCTATTGATTATTCATGGTTCCCAGAAAAAAATTGCAATACCATCTTTATGTAATCGTATATTGCAATAAGCACATGTTACAGGATAGACTCTCTTAGGTCTCTCAAATTTTGCCGAGTTTGTGATAATTGAAAATATGATACAGACGCCTCGAGAACTGAATTAGTGTGCTTAGTAGTAAATTTAGTTAATAAATTATTTAGTTAGTAAATTATAAATAAATTTACGATTTGACTTTTGTGACTTTAGATTTTCTCATACCTTTCCCGCCAACTGAATGTCAAACTTTGTCTCTCCTTTCCACTTACCCAAACCTTCATACCCCCCAAAAATTAAGAAGTGGAAGGAGAAAGTGGGCTGGAACTAATTTAATGGCTGAGCGACCTCACAGTAGAGTAACAGCCGGAGCCTAATAGGAGTCTTTGTCTGCATTTCCACCCTGGCTGGTAACGTGCCAGTCAAAAGTCAAGCAAGAGAAACAGGTGGAAACTATTAGACCTGTCATAAAGTTTGAAAAATTGATTCTGGAGGTTAAGTGAATAGATTGAACTTGACAGTGTTGTCCTAAAGATTCTTAGGGAAAATTCTCTAGTTTAATTTGGGATCCCTTGATTGTTTGTTAGCTCTCCAGATGGCAGGTCTTGGCAGTTTGCGTATTCACATACACATTGTATTATCACTGGCATACATTTACGTGTCCTAAGGCAACAAGCGAAGTGTGAATTCACCTGTGGGTATCTAAAATTAAATGGCATTAGTTTAATTGTAAAATAAAGATTTGTTTAAATGTCATGTAGTTTTAAATGATAAATATTGCTTTCATGATTGCATGTTAAAAACCTTTTTTGAATCATTTGAGACTATTTTTAAAACCTTTTCCATTTTTATTTCTTAAACTAAAGTTTAAAATCCTTACCAGAGATTCGAAGCTCACTAGTTTTTTTTCTCTAAAAGGAAATCCTGTAAGTTGCATTTCAGAAACCTTGTCTTCAAAGGTACTTATCCTAATGCCACCTGAACAGGTTAACCTTGCCAGAAGCAGTTCTACTTTCTCTCTCTCCTTGTCTCTAAGCATGCCTGGGTTTGAATGATTGAGGATGAAACCATTATTTTTGAGGGTGTATCTGGTATAGTGATACAAGTGTTACACTGTAGAGACATACTTACTAGACTCACAAGACTTGAGATTGATAAAGACATATTTTTAGCACACTAATTGACTGGAATGGTTTTGCAAGCATTTAATTAAAAATAAATTAATTAGATAAACATTTCGGTTTTATTCTTTACTGGCACATTATGTACTATTTTAATGTGTTAGTTGGCAGAAAATGTGGTTTATACATGATTAAGCCAGCAAGTGATATGTTCTGTATGAAATGCCATCCCTTTTCCCCAATATTTAAGGAGCAGAAAGTGTCATTGTTAGGAAGAGTTTGACACAAAAATGGTGGATTTTAGTGGAAATGAAATGTAGGATGAAGATGCTTTCATAATTGGTGAATAGGATACTTATATAAAATGTCAACTTAGAATAACCAATTTCCAAACAGTTAAAAGCTTTGAATAAGAAAACCCTTTACATTGATGGTGCCCTTTTAGTTTTTTGTTATGCTTTTATAGATTCATATTGTTGAATTTTTAAAAATTGTACTACAGCTCTTATTTGGACAGTGAACTCGAGGACTCATTTTAAAACTCTTGTGTTAGTTGTGTTCAAATATGCGTGCTGCTAATGCAGGTATGAGTTAGTGGAAAGTAAGAGTAGCATATAATTGAAGGAGACTTGAATGGCACTTCAGAGGCACAAGCAAACAAGTTGAGATTGACAAACTGTGTTTTGTACTTAGTGATTTTTTTTTTGTTCCAAATCACTGTGATGTTTTGTGCTATGTAAACACAGTGGCCTCAGGTTTAATCATTCCATGCACCTCAGTGATCTCCCTTATTCTCTGCTTAAACCATAGTTTTAAATACCAATTTAAAATCAAAGGAGTTGTGGGGAGTGGGTTGACATGTGGTTTGAAGATAGAAACTTGGCATTAACATAGCCTTGGCAAAATATGCGATATAGTCATAGCGCTTGTTTTCATTCCGTCATCAGGCATACCTGTTGAAAGCTGCCCCTCTCAGGTACTTGCCTCAGAATTCCACTAGGACTGTAACTGCAAGCCAGAATTTTTTTCTTACAACTGTTTCTCAGGAAACAGACATTGCTGTTGGATATTTTTAAAATGTGTGCTGATAAATCAATCAGTTGCATTTAAATGGTGTACGCATTTTATACATAATCTTTTCTATGGTTATATAACCAAAAATATTTTATCAGTTTGGATAACAGGTAGTTTTTGTGCAGAGTTCTCACAATAGTTCATATTGCTTTTCAAAGCTTAAATCCCATGGTTTTGTTTGTTTGTTAAACTGTGGTGTGAGACGGGAGTGCTTTGCTTGGTGAATGTCTAACCGGAAAAGGTAGATACTAGTGGCGGTAGACCTGCCTTTTAAGGAATTTTATGCTTTTAATCTACATCACTCCCATTTAACTTAGCCTTGATATAGTACAATCTTCCTTCATGCTTGACATCACTGGGCTTCCTTACTTTTAAAAC